GGATTAAACTCTAATCCCAGTGTAGCACACGGCCTCAACTGTTGCAACACCTTCAAGTTAACTCTAACTTGAATACTCAAAGTACCTAATACAATTGCTTCTATAAAAGCTGGAAAGGTACAACTTTAAAACACCTACTACAATTGAACTAAAATAAAAGAAAGACACAATAGAACTGATTCTTGTATCTTGTCCAAGTAGCTTCGAGAATGCACACTTGAATCTCACATAAATTGATTGGCAAATTACCTCGCTTTTTTGCTCTCAATTTAGTTTAACTTCTGTGTTTGTGCAATACCTGTAAAAGAGAACAATCCTTGTTATTTAATGAGTTAGTAATCAGAGTTTGATTGAGACTCAATTGCTGATCTTCCATCGAAGTTGAGTCCTTGAACAATACAAACTCCAACCCTATCCTTTATCCGAATTGTGTCCTCTTCCCATGAGAAGACTTTCTCTCCTCATCCAATATGTAACCTTTTCGATTAGTTCAGGAGATATTGCTGCTTGATCACTGAGACTTATCTCCTTCATGTGTATCTCACATGTCTAGGTTGATAGATACTGTGCCTCACATGATGGACCTGGTCCATGAGTGAGTTCATTTGTCATTCTTCAAAACTTCACCTGAACTTGGGCCAACAAATTCCCCCTTTTTGATGATGACAACTCTGTGCTTTTATGGATCAAAAAATCTGTAAGAACTCAGCTTAACCATCAACACTTAACTTAGAATTTTAACTTATCATCAAGGACCAGGTTTAATTAGGTTATAAATATCACATTATTCAGAATAAAGATTAAAGCACAATATCTCTTCCGCCTTTTGGCATCATCGAAATGTTGCATACATTGTGAATCCCAGAATTTTGTAATTACTCATGGCCACTTGGGCAACTGCAAGTGAAAACATGGATTAAATCATCAATAATCAACACATTCAACTATTAAGAATAAAATCNCCAGCGTGCCTAGCCTAGTCTATAGCCCAATCCAGTGGCGGATCCAGGATTCATATGTCGTGGGTGTTTCACTGATTTTAATTTAAATTCTTGGCCAAGTGTGGTCATAGTGGGTGCTCATGGTCAATTAGTGAAGTTTTTATGTATTATTTATAAATATATTATATGATTTGGCCAAGCCAATGGGTGCTTCAGCACCCATATGTCCAAAGGTGTATCCGCCACTGTCCTAATCCAGAATTTGGAGGGTCCATTATTCTATCTTTATAACCCGATCCCATTTTGATAAATAGCCTTTGGGGCTTATTCTTGGACGTTTATCTGATGATTTTAAAGAGAGGTAAGAGAAATTTAGAGAGAGAACGAGGGAACCTAGCATTCCAATCATCCAGTATTGCTCAAATCTTCAAGAATCAAGGAAGCTAGCCACTAGATTATCATCTATCCAGGTAAGTCCTACTTCTAAGCTTTCATACAAGAGGTTAAGAGTCCAAATATATTATGGGGGTTAGAAATAGGCCATGCACGTGGCACTAGGTTGTAGTATGTGGAATTTATGAACCATTGTGGGTAGTTTCTTGTTGAAATTTGTTGAAGGAGGAAGGTATTACAATTTTAGGTCCTTGTAGTCTATTTTTCATGATACGTGTTTGACAAAATTCCTAGGAGAGTTACACCATGGGAATCTTTCTAATTATTAACCAATTTTTGCTATCTTCCTATATATTGCGTTGGTGGATGTAACTTAAGGAAAGCTCAAACAAGCTATGTTGGCTAAACTTTCTCTCTCATAATTGAATTTCATAGTGTTTCCGTAAGTTCAAGTATGGTTAGCTCGAAATCCCTAATTTCTATATATTCTGGGTTATTCCTATAAACTTGATTATTCCGAATGAGCCTTATATCGAAAGGTGGATGTTCAAAGTATGGTTTGCTTGTTAGAATGGTATGGATTTGAGTCGTATTTTAAATGAAAATTAGTATACCAATTGGGTGAGGAAAACTCGATACGTCTAATACTCCTAATTGCTCCTGTGTGTACCTAATGTCCTGATTGAATATGTCTTGTTGTTGATATTCTATAAAGATGTTTAAAAATGAAATAAGTGAATTGGGGAAATAGTGTGTGGCCAACGTGCCAAGAATATAAGTTGTAATTGTGGCTAGTGGTAACAAGGAAATGAGAAGATGGGAGAAAGATTATGAAATGAGCCTCGACTCAACTGTTTTAAATGTATTCTAAAAATAGAATTTCCCTAAAAGCTCTTATACTCAATGTATGCCCATAAGTGGTTGTTTTTAACATATGCCTTGCCTTATAAATATATCCAATGTGATTCGAGCCCTTACACACTCCGATATTGAAATTGTACATTGTCGTGTTTGGGAAAAAGTAATTCAAGAATAATTGGTATAGTGCGCGTTTATGACTTTGATGTGTGTTTCTATTGCTGGTTGGCATGTCCCCTTGTTTGGGAAAAAGCCTTTGTGTTGAAAGTTTCCATTACTAATGAACTTGAGGTATATGATTTCTAAGATATTATATATGTTGGTATTTGGTGGTGATCCTTGAAATTACAAGAAATGAAAATATGGAATATAAAATGCGGCCATCGTGCCATGAATAAAGAATCTTGTGAAAGGCGCAAAGAGCCAAGGAAATACTGTTAATGTGGATGATTGAAAATACTAATAAAGATATATACAATGTGAAATATTCTAAGATGAATCTCATGGAAAACGAATTCGGGTCATGCGCTATTGAAATTGACTTATTTGTTCACCATGCACGTGTTAATGTAATGTCAATCATGTCACTTGAGTTAATATATGGTCTCGTGCATAATGAGGTGTTATGTGAACCCTATGGACAGTCTATGAAACACATGGGTGTATAATATAATATGTGAACCCTATGGACGGGCTATTAAACACACAGGTGTATAATATAATATGTGAACCCTAGGGACGGGCTATGAAACCATAGGTGTGTAATATAATATGTGAACCCTATGGATGGGATATGAAACACATAGGTGTATAATATAACATGTGAACCCTATGGACGGCTATGAAACGCCTAGGTGTATAATATAATATGTGAACCTTATGGACGGGCTATGAAACGCATAGGTAATATAATATGTGAACCCTATGGACGGGCTATGAAACGCATAGGTGTATAATATAACATGTGAACCCTATGGATGGGCTATGAAACACATAGGTGTATAATATAATATGTGAACCCTATGGACGATCTGTGAACGCATATCCAGTATGTACAATAGATGCCACTTCCATTGCCCTTGTTTGTACATGTTGTTATATTTACATTATATTTTGTGTCTTACGCATAGTTCATATGGCACACTTGATCCCAAAAGATGTTCAGAATGAAGTAAGTATAATAAGGCTTGAAATATGATTCTATGGGACGTTTCATAGTTTCTTGATGTACTTCATTTGCCTCTGATTTAAGTTACTGTATTTCCATACGTGAACATTCGGATATTGTAGATTGTGACTTGTTGTTTCTATGATTTTCCTTTCTTATATGGTCATTCTATTTTGAAAGAGGACTTGTAGCTATACATACTAGTGTTATTCGACTGCACTAACGTCCATTTTGCCGGGAGCGCTGTATCTTTGATTGATACAGGTGGTTCCACAACAGGCGGCATCGATAAGTGATAGCGGTATACTCTTTTCAGCTGACTCGGTGAGCCCCACTTCATTTCGGGGTCTTGTATCTTCGTTTCTCACGTATCTTTTGCTCATTTCCTTATCATGTTTTGAGGTATATCCGGAGCCTTGTTGCCGGCATTTTCTTATTACTCTTCAGTTGTACTTATAGGCGCCGTAGACAATTTGTGGGTGGTTGTTGCTATTTTTCATCATATCTATAAACTTGTAATATTTTGTAAACTATAAATGAAGTTGCTAATGAAAATAAAATGGAAGTTGTAATGTAAAAATTTTCAGAATTTGATTAATGGAGTACATCTCCTCTTTATTCATGAATTAGTTTGGGGTAGAGGAAAATCTAACAGGCTTGCTCGGCCGGGTTTACTCGGTTGAGCGCTGGTCGCGCTCCCCGAATTTGGGGCGTGACAGCGTGATCATGCAACTTTATAAATACTAGCCACTATTAATAAAGACTCCAACTTATAAAAATAATTTGCTATATTTGAAAAGGAAAAAAGAAAATAAATAATTAATCAATGATGTTTTGGTATTAAATAGCGCCACGTTTAGATGAGTAGTTTTGAAGCGAGCAAACAATTGCTTAAGACATTAATTGTTGTATCATCTCGAATGATGAATACCGTATTTCTGTTTATTTTCTTTCAATTCCAAGAGTTATATTTGCATAAATTTTTAATATAGTAGCCAAATTTAAATAGTGGCCTAAAAATGGATATTTGCGTAAATCAGCCTCCTAAAAGTGGAAAATCTTTCATGCTATTTACCTGGATAACCTGTTATCAATATTTTCCTGCGACAGCCAGGAAATGAACAGTAGAAATTAATGGAACAGTACTATATATGTTCATTAGTAAGGCGCCGTTTGGCCATACAAAATTGTGCACTTTTTTTTCAAATTTTTTTTTTTTACTTTTTTTCGTATTAAGTATTTGACCATGAAATTTTCAATTTCCACACGAAGATGAATTTCAGAATTTTTCGAAAATTTGAAAAACTCCAAATGACTGTTTTTCCAAATTTTTACTCTCTCAAATCACTCACAAAAATAATTAAAAAAAAAACTCAAAATTGTATTCATGTCCAAACATAATTGTAACTTTCAAATAATATTTTTACTTATTTTTTTTTTGGAATTTTATGATTCTTATGTCCAAACGCCCACTAAGTCACCGCCGCGGATTTAATTTACAATAATGAACCGTCGTAGTAGTTTGCTTTTATATTTGAGTGACACGTGGCGGATTATTGTTGGCTTACAAGAGATGAGAAGCAATCTAGGTGATCGATGTTGTGTGGCTAGATCAACTTAACTTACGTGTCTGCATGTGTTCCCATGTCTGAATCAACGTTAGTCGACGGTGTATGAAATTAAAACTGAAAAAGCTGTCTCATTTCTCATTTACAGAAATGGCGACAATCACTGCTTGCACCACAACTTCTTTAGTAGCCCGTGCTGCTCTCGTGCAAAATGGATTTGTATCTCGCCCCTCCTCTCTTCTTGGTATGTTAATATTTCACATATCGCTCTTAATCTTGATAAGAGTTTAACTTCTATAAAGGGAATTAATGTTTCTTTTAGTTTAAGCTTTCTAGCTTGGATTCAGCAAACTAAATTATGAAATGAGTTTCATATATATAGGTGGACGGAAGGGTTCATTCAAGCCTCTTCGTCCGAAAATTACATTGTATATATAAGGTTAATTTTTTTTTTTTCAAAGAACATATATTAGATGTTGAATCCCCTATAACTTAGTTTCTTTGCATGTTAAAGATCCTGCTTCCGCCTTTGTTAACTTGTAAGCTATATACATAGACACTGCTGATAGAGTGGGGCGAAATCATTATTAAGGATCAATAAAAAATCCCAAAAGGGAATTTGATGTATATATACTTTATTTCCCATTCTCAAAAGGTTAATATATATGCAGAAATAGTCTCAGTTGAATGGGAAGAATATAAATCAAAGATTTTGTGTTAGTTGACTCAAAATGAGTATTATATGATTTTATCATATGTATACATACATTAAATTCCTACTTTAAATGTATACAATCACATCTTTATATATAACAATCATCATCTTTATATATAACAATCATCATCTATAACAACACTTCACTATATTGACCAAATTTTCTTTTTGAATTGATTTTTTATACTATGTTACTACTTAATATATGTTTTCTATATATAATAACACTTCACTATATCAACAAAAAAATATCTGAACAAACGAGACTATTATAGAAATGTTTGACTCTACGTAACTCGAGTCAAAAACTTTATTAACTAAACTAACAAATTCCATCCTAAATGTAATAAATAACAACAACAACATACCTAATGCAATCCCACAAATGAAGTCTGACCATATATATAGTATTATATAACAACTGGCTCACAATTTCACAGGGTTGCCAGCCATGAGCAAGTATATGGGAAAGGTAAAATGTTCAATGGAAAGAAAGGAAGAAGGGCAAGATGGTAATGAGTCAAAGTTAGGAATGGGTGCATCTTTAATGGCAGCAGCATGTGCAGCAACAATGTCAAGTCCAGCAGCTATGGCTTTAGTGGATGAAAGAATGAGCACAGAAGGAACAGGGCTTCCATTTGGTTTGAGCAATAATCTTCTTGGTTGGATCCTTCTTGGTGTCTTTGGTTTGATTTGGTCTCTATACACAGTTTACACTTCTAGCCTAGATGAGGATGAAGATTCTGGATTGTCTCTTTAATTTGAGCTTGTAATTAAGCAGTTCCCACAATCCATCAATCCTTATTCTTAATTATTGTGTGAATTTATGTAAAATTAACATGGCCACCAATTAATTGTACATTGGTGTTATCAATTAATTTGTTCAGTTGCTTGTAGTATTCCCTTTTTCTAATTTACTCCAAGTTGTTCATAGCTCTTCTATGACATCTGCAGTTTCTTTGATGCAGTATTAGTGTAGTAGATAATTGATATTTGGCTACAATAAACTGTTTAACCAAAAAGTGGGATTTCGGCCCAAGCTTATTTTGGAAGAACTCGGGTTACTGATAATCAAATAGAAATATGAATAATGGACGTAAATAAAAGTTGAATAGAAAGCGAAGTAAATCAGTATATTCCAGTGGTATTCGTGTGTTTACAAATGATCAGGTTGCCCCTTTTATAGATATTTCTAGGTGATACGTTTTGCCTTTGTCATAATAAGATCATTATAGACAATTAAAGGTATTTAATGCTACGTTATAAATGATAATCATTGTAATTCAATACAGATTCTCTAACGTTCTCAGTATTTAATGCCTATTAAATACTGTATTTGTTCCCACTTTTACTATCAAGTTCATTCTCTTATCTTGACTCCTGAGCATAAAGAGGTGCGGGCACCGAGTCTCTTAAATCTCTGCTCGTGTCTGTTGTAACTCGTGCCTCTTTCATTATTCTTTGTTGATTGTCATTCTTTGACCAGTCTACGTGTCATGACATGTCATCTTTCAATCAATTATATATGAACTCAATTTTTACCAATACGGATGGTCCCCCCACTTGCCATGTATTCGTCAATAGAATATTTGGGAAGTGGATTTTATTAAAGCGGGAATATTTGCCGCCATTAGTTCTCCTCTGGAACTGACGCTTCATTTGTCACTTCTATCTAATGCCCACTACACGTGGCATCTTCTGATTGGTTCTGCAACTTTTCAGCGTTTTTAAGGCTTTTTTACGGCTTCACCAATTACGAAACGTCAGTTCTCGTCATGACGTTTCCATCATTATACCTTTTCCTCTGACGGTTGCTTCTGAGTATAAATGTAGTTTTCACTTTTGTCTTTCTCACATAAAGTTCTCGAAATATTTAATTCTTGTTTCCTTCTTCCTCGTACTATTATGTCTTCGCCAAACCCTAACCCCAGGAGAGTCCCCATTGTCGATAACCTTCCTCTTGCTCCTATTAGGAGCAAGAAAGAAGGTAGACTTCGTAAGTTCTTCTCTACCTTCGTCCAGTTCCACTCCACCTTCTAGAACCAGAGGTTCCCTCTGTCAAAGGTCTTCGTCTAGAGGTAAAGAACCCACTGAGCCTCTTCGTGAACCTACTGTAGATGAGATTGTTCCCGTTGAACTATCTTTTTATAATGATAAAGAATCTATCAGAAACCAACTGTCCTCATTAGATCGTGCTGACATCTACCCAACTCAGATTACTGAAGGTCTGATTTCTTTAGTTCGTAAAGATTGCCATTGGAGCCATGACTTCCCTATTATAATTTCCAATGCGAACCAAAGAATCACCTCTTATTTAATTGGGTTTTCTTTTGTTTATACACACCCTTTCACGTTGGGTTTCAAACCTGCTATTGACCATGTTATCCTCGAATTCTGTCGTTTTTTCGACGTCTGTTTAGGGCAAATTGGCCCTATTGTGTGGAGAGTTGTTGCTTGTTTAAAACATTTGACCAACATGGCTGGTGTACCTTTTACTATCTCCCATTTAATTCACCTTTACTCTCCCAAACTCTTTCGCCAAGGAGTTTTTACTTTAGTAGCAAGAAGCAAAAGAGTTCTGGTCAATCCAGAAAATGATAAGGACCGTGGCTGGTATGCCAGGTTTGTTGCTGCCCCCACTGTTAGTTTAGTGGGTGATAAAAATGTTCCCTTTCCTGAGAAGTGGAATTTTGCACGTGAGTTTTCTTTTTAATAACCTTCACATACTTTTTCTTAATTCTGTTGGTTGTCATTTTAATTTCCTTCTCTTTTTTTAGCAACCATGGGAATTGTCGATGAAATTCTCAATTTCTGTGGTTGGGTAGGAAAGTTGTTATATGCTGCCCCGATGGAGGGTAGATCTTGGAAGACTCTCTCTCAACGATTTGGTTGGAAAGTGAAAACTCACGGTAAGAGTCTTTTTTATAACTTTTCTATTGCTTCTTCCAGAAATTATTTTAATCCTCCTTTTTATCAGGATTTCCCATTCGAGGCATTAGTGCTGAGGTTGTCGTAGCTTCCCGAATTTCTTTGGAAAGGTCCCAAGAAATAATTTTGGGCTCTTCATCGAAAAGGAAAGCTACTGTTGATCAAGACTCTGGGGAAGAGGAAGAACAAGACGGGGGTTCTTTGATAAAAAGGCAACGGGCTAGAAGAAGAATTATTTCAGATGATGAAGCATCTCCCCCTCGTTCTATTCCTCTCACCGAGTCTGTTGAAGCCTCGTTGGTAGTTTTTGATGATGATACTCCCGCTGTCGCCCATGATTCTGCTGATCAGCTTTTTATCCTCGGGTTTGGTAGTGAAAGTTTAGGACCAATTTCTGATGAAGCACCCCATGCTACTTTTCCTTTATCTGCTCCTACAATACCTTCTTTGCCAGTTGTGGTTGTTACCATTGCTGCTTCTCCCCCAGCTGTTTTGACTCATTCTACTGCTCCTCCCCCAGCTGTTTTGACTCCTTCTACAGTTCCTCCTACAAGTGTTCAACAAACTGAGGTTGGTTCCTCAAGTTGAAGTGGATCCATGAAACATGTTATCATCGAGGTCCCTGCCGATGGTAATCTTTTGAGAAAATCAGGTGGGGTGACGTGTGGTTGAAACCCCTAATTGGTCCAGTCGAGAAGGCCAAGCTTGAGAGCCACAATTCTTTAACTTCGATGAACGACATAATACATTCATCATTAAAGGTATTCCTTTTTAATGATTTGTTATTCCTTTTTATAAGGCTCTTACCTTTTTTTTTAGATCAACCTCGTTGGTACAGGAATGATGAAGAGGGTTTCTCATACGGAGCAATTGATGCATGAGTACCAAGTTGAAGCAGATAACTGGAGAGAACAATATGAAAGCCTTCAAATTGACATGGAAGCGTTAGAAGAGAACAAGTGCACCTTAGAACAACAGCTGAGAGATTTTTAACTTCGGAGTTGGCGGTTGAAAGAGCTTCCCCAAATCAAGCTAGTAAAGACAAAACTCTTCTCAAAGCTTCTTTTTCCGAGCAACTCTCCAAGGCTAGCGAAGAAATCAGAGAGTTGAAGGCTCTCTTAAGTGAAAAAGAAGCTTATGCTGGTAAACTTGTGCAAACTTTGACTCAGACTCAAGAAGACCTCCGGGAATCTTCTGATAAGGTTCGTTTCTTAGAAAGTTCACATGCCTCTATTCAAAATTCTTATGATTCTGCCTTGGTTGAGAATGAGAAACTTAAAAGTGAGATTGCTGAGTGGGAAAAGGATTACGAGATTCTTGAGGATAAAACCACAATTGAAGTGAGTTGGGCATTTTTAAATACTCGCCATGATACCCTTGTAGATATTAGCCAAGAGAATTTTAACTTGGAAGTTGGGTTGGCTAAAATAAAAGAAACCATTGAAAAGACTCAGCAAAGCCAAGACTTTCCTTCTCCTGTAGCTGAAACTTCTGAAAATATTGAAGATGATATGGGTACGGTGAGTGCTCCACTTCCTTCAAGTGAAGTTGAGCCTACCGCTGCTGATGATTCTGCTTCGGTTCCTTCTTCAACTCCTTAGTGACAAGTTTATAATATGTGATTTCCCTTTTTTTTTCCTTTGGTGGTATATGGTTGTAACCCTTGGTCCTTTTTGAGGGTTTGTTGAAAACATTAAGTCCCCAGACCTTTTTCGCGGCGTTTTGTATAAACAACTTTTAGTTTATGACTAAGTTCATACTTAGTCTAAACTTTTTAAATATTTAAGAAGTTTTCTGTTATTGTTTGAACTTCTGTTTTGCTCATTCGTGCATTTATATTTAAGGACTTATTGGATAACTTGCATTTTTATTTTGCAAAATGCCTTTTTTTTACTTCATGAATATTTGAATCAATCATGAATTTTATAAAAGAGGGCCCTTTTATATTCGACACTTAATGAAGAAGACGTCTCAACTTCATAATGGTGTTAATGTACGACAAAAGAAATAGGAATACACATGTTTCTTGAAATAACTTTGACAAGTTTTTATTTGAATTCTGTCAAGCTTTTAATAACATTTTACATGTATTTAAATAACTTCTATAACTTTTTCGTAATTGTTTTCCATACAACAGATTTTCAAAAAAGAAAATAAAACACAACAAGGTTTTTATTTATAACCCGTTTCAGTACATGTATATTGCCTTTAACCTAACTATGATGAGGTTTTTCTTTGGCTTTAGCTCGTGACTTTGCTATGCACTTGACTCATTCAATGAGTAAACTTTTCAGGCTTGAACTTTGATTATTTCTCAATCTTCTTTGCCTTCTTTATACATGTGTCTATGTATATTATATAGTCCCCCAAGTATTTGAGATTTGAAGTATGAAGTCTCGAGCACTTGATTACTCCTCTTGTTTGGTCCTTTTCCTGTAAAGAAACAAAACATACGGGACTCGGAGGTACGATTATAGACGAAGATTGCTTAACCCGTCTCAATTTCTATCAGAATAGTTGTAACCCTAGACCGGGAATTTTAATCTATTCCACGTGCCTTGTAGGTCGTGATTCATCATTTAGTACGGGTTAGCTTTTTGCCTATCATCTAGAATCGTTAGTAAAATTTTAACTGTCACACCTCCTTTTTTACACACCACCCTGAAAGGATAGTGTATAAGGGAGTTTTTTCACTTTAAGTGACATTATTCGAAATCGGATTATTTATTCAGAGTCGCCACTTGGGATAGTTCATTTGGTGTCCCAAGTCACCGATTTATTTTGAATCCCAAATCGAGGAAGATTTCGACTTTCCTTGTGAAGTCTGCGAACCAGAAATTCTGACTAAGGAATTCTGTTAACCCGGGGGAAGGTGTTAGGCACCCCCGGATTTCGTGGTTCTAGCACGGTCGCTTAAACTATTACAATTGGTCTATTATCTGATTTTTATACATGTTCAAACCTATAGTGTAATTTTAAATTA